CACACACATATAGTAATCATTCTGGTTAAGAAGTTTGTGTTTATGTACACACATATACATACAAACATGTATTGATTCGCAAGTAATCATTCTGGTCAAGAAGTGTATATATACATTATACACACATACCCATGACTTTTGATATGCATTAAATCATTCCGGTCAAGAAGTAGTGATGTAAAAGGAAATATTCTCACCTGACAAGTGACAACGATGAGTAAAAAAAGACTATTAGTGGAATTGTTAGAACTAAAAATAAATGTAACAATAAGGATTACAAGTTGGCATAATGAAAAATATATACAATGTGTTTGGTGCAACGGGTATATCATAACTGTTTATGATTATATGTGTACGTATAATACAGACAATTATGATGTTCTCGGTCCACAATGCACCGGGCATACCGAACGTATTATCCCATAAGGAGGATAAATTTTGAAATCAAAGAAGATAGAGAAGTGTATGGTAGCGTGCTTGAGTTATCAGAATAATTGTGACAGAACTTATTGTCGTTATGGAGTACAACTGTTTTTTTTTTTTTTTTTTTTTTTTTTTTTTGGGTGGTTGTTACATTTTCAAACTCAAAAAGCAAAATGTGCTAGTGTCATGACAATGCTATTATTGGTGATGGTAATGATCAATATCCTAACAATTGCATTAAATAATGATTACAAGTTAATAAATATTAGCCAAGTATTTATTACCCTAATGTCAACATTTCAAGTTGGTAGGATCCACTAAAAAGATGTGTTATGATAATGATACATTCCATAAAAGCGAAAGGGCATGATAAATGGAAGCGAAAAAGACTCTCCAATCATAATCTTATGTACTTAACACTTGATAAAACATATGATTCAGTATGGATTTTTTTTGCGCTCCAATAATGATCATTATTAGGTTGATCAAAATGGTGATAAAACACTCAGAAAATTCTTAATTTGTACATGATATGAGATGATGACCCCCCCTAGCTAACTTGTGCCCTAAAATGTGCATGATATGATGCCACTTGAGTGTTGTGTAAGCAAAATTAACCTCCCATGTGCTTGTACCTAGCTTTTTTGTACTAGAATTACTTGAAAGTCAAAATGTAGTAGCAAGGTCTAGCAGATCTATTTTTAATTTTAATTGCAGTAGTAGGTCTCTGCTGCACGATAAGGTTTTTTCGGGAAAGTTACTGCATGATAAGTTCCACCATCTTTGCTTATCCTACCCCTTCGTCCTGGCAATTTCAAATCAACAAAAGCTAGAAAGCATCAACTCAATCAACTCCATTACAATATCCCCATTATGGAATTGTGAATTGACCTTTTTTCGTCAAAGAATTCCCACCATATAATAATTTCTCCATTAACCGTGCCCTAATGGTATCAAATGCATTGAGTATTGGGCAGCTTGAAATACTGGCACAACATATATAATTTCTCCATTAATCGTGCCCTAATAGTATCAAATGCATTGAGTATTGGACAGCTTGAAATACTGGCGCAACATATATAGGTTAAGTGTAACGAGTTCGATGCTTAGTGGACCGACCTATTACAACTGGTATTAGAGTCAAATTCAGTCTTTGATTTGTTGTCACGCCAAGTACCCACCCAGTTGATATTTGGGTTAGCAGCCGGGTAAGTAGGGTGGTCCGACTGTAACAAAAGCATTACAAATTCGAATATAAAAGAATGTTACAAGGAGGTCTTGTTCTACATCGGATCTGGATGAAAAATAATGGAGTATATATAAATTGGGTGTTAACACCTCCTAATAATTTAAATTTTTGAATCCGATCACAAAGCACCCAGCTACACAAGGGGGGCCTCTCTATAGAGAGTATGGAGACTACACACACACAAACAAAAAGCTATTGCTTGCTGCCTATAGAAGGCATAGCACACACCACATTTCAGTAAATCATAAGTACATATATTTTATGTAATATGGAGAGAGAGGGTGAGCACAATTCACCGCTAAAGAAGGCATATGTATCTCACCTAAAGAGACGAACATTTTCATTCATAGGCAAGTCTCACTTAAAAAGAGAATAAAAATATGATAAAAATGACCGCACATGTAAGAAGTATGGGATGCAATACATCACTTGCACTTGATCTAAGCTCTCTTTCCAATGTCATTTTCATGAAAATGCATGAAGGAGATGATGATTCTCACAAAGTCTTTTAAGTTACCCCACAGACAGCTTTATTATCAAGCATGCTCTCAAAGCCATTTGCTTACACGCACACATTCAATCTGAGACTTCTGGGGGTCCTCCTCCTCTACGCTTGTTCTAGTTCCATGAAAATGATACTGAAAATGATATATATATATCTCTCTCTCTGTCACACACACACACAGCTGTACTTGAAAGTTTGGTAAGGATGGGTCATTGTCTCTCTGCAATCTGCATCCATAAGCTGCTTTAGTAAACGAAAATCCACGTGCTACCTATAGATTGGTAGGTTCAGATATATCCCATCATAATTAGGAAAAAAAAGATATATCCCATCACTAATGCTAACTAGTGTTCATGATTGATGAGTAGTACACTTCTTATTCATTTAAAAATGCTTAATGTGACAACAAACATAGTACTAATATTAAGAGTGAGTAGTCGGATTATGACACGGCACATGACACTGTAAAACACAGCGTGTCTCGTGTTACTTTGATAATAGCCGATACAGAGTACCAAAGATGTTAGCAATTTACTCAAAAAAATATAAATAATTTTTTTGAGCCTGAAAGGCTTTAACAAACCCTAGCCCACAAGATAGCCCAAGACTGATAAGAATGATCCAGGCCTTAAAATGCCCAATTCTCTCAATCCTGTAAATTGAGAATCCTTAGTAATCACATCTTGTGACAGCCAAAATATCACTGGTGTGGCCAAGGATACATTTTTTTTTTTTTTTTTTTTTTTTTTTGCTGATCCTACCATCAAACGTAGAGGCATTTTAAAAGGAAATTCTTGGTCTCAGATTATTTTACTTACTTGACAGTCACCATTTCAAAAGAAAGAAAAAGACTTAAAACTGTTCAACTCAACTGTGGTAATTTATTCATGAGCTTACTGCTTTTCAGTCCTGGTAATGAACAAAATTAAAGACATGCATATCCGCTTGGCAGAGAACATGTATCATTAATTCTCATACTCAGATTGTGATTATTTTAAACAAAGCTCGTGAGAAGAACCATGAGGTCGACCTTACTTCAAAAGGTTTCATGGTGAACTGTGAACAATGAAATACCCATCAACTTCTCAAAGTAGAGGGTAAATTAAGAAAACACCCCTGCACTATACATGTGTTGCAAAAAATTCTCCTCGCAAAAAACGTGTCCCCAAACTAAGGAAAAGTTGCAAGGCCCCTACGAAGTTTGGCTTCAACATTATTTTACACACACACTCAACTCAACAAATACACCTACTATGCGCCAATGAAAACTTGATCCACCAATCTTCTATTTAGAAGAGTGAGGAGATACCAATTGGGCAAAGGCATCTGACTTCTGTTACAAAGTAAAATTTGACATGAAGTGACTTCTACGGTGAAATCAAATGAACAAGGTTCTAAATTGTGATTTAAACTTTTGACTTAATCATACTATTCTAAATCTATATTTCTTTTCCCATATCATTTTGGCAACTAAATAGTAGAGAGTAAAGCTGTCTACAAGGATATGCCTACATAGAGGTCTAGAGTCTAGACAAATATTCTCCATTAGTGGAGAACATGATAAAGCTTCCTGAATGTATAACAGATATGAGCAACTCTTAAGTTCAAACATCATTAGCCTGATTGTAATCAACCCAAAATAGACACAACAGACACACACACACGCGCATGAGAATTTTCACATCATGAAAATGACATCCTAAAGTGAGAGGACCAAAAGTTGGTTGAAGTTAGTTGCTGAGCTGAGCCATGATCTGTATGTGTGTGTGTGTGTTGCAAGAGGATTTATCACAACATGAAGAGACATCACAAAGCTGAGAGGACGAAAGAGTTGGTTGGAGTCAGTTAGTGCCCTTGAATTGGGTTAGTTATGGCGGAAATCTTAGGGCCATGTGTCTTTGTACCAAGTTGTTTGGTTGTGTTGGACTAGGACCCGTTCACAAAACATTTCAAGTCTGCCACGTGGCAACGATGATCAATGACTCGGTCCATACAGGTGGGCTGTACTATCTGTCCAAATGTCCCTATCTTGCCATCATGGTTAGAACTAACAATAACAGATAAAAATGGATAATAGCAACTGAAGTAATTATGGGTTGTTAATCTTTGATGAAGTGGGTTTGGGAGTGGAACCTACCAGAACTAATGACTCAGAACCCACAACCCTCTTGATTATTCTCCTTTTTCACTTTAGTAGCACAAATTAGTGTATCCCTGTTCATTTTTGTGTATATTTTACTAATCCAGATGAATTTAAATGACTGTTTAATCGAGACACTTCAAAAATGTTCAAATATACGGTTTTCTAGTATTATCAATAGTACCCTGAATATTCTGAAATTTAAAAGGAATCATTTGCATATTTATCTCTGTAGGTCCTGTGAATCCATAGTCAAATCGCATTAATGAAAATTTGGTATCAGCAAATAATCAACAAAGCCATAAACAAAGGCACATTGTTTACATAAAATATCCGGAAGAGATTTTTAACATGTTTATAATGTACTTCCTGAATCTCTAGCTACAATTACACATGTCCTTGTATCCATATAAACCAAATTTACACTTCTTCAATCTTACGAACATCTGATCAGACGCTTAACCACTGGATAAAAAACACTCACTAGAAAGCTTGGTTATGGAACCCAAGATCTCAAACACAAACATATATGAACATTGCATAATAAAATCAAAGCTATGTGGATTGTGGAAATAAGAGATCCTGTTCTATCCTATTTAGATGAAAAGAAAATGCTATATATTGTTTAAGACTAGACTGCTGAAATCAAATAGGAAGTCACAATATTGAATCAAAATAGGAAATTAACAGAGAAAATTGTTGTTAGTTAGATTGATCAGGATGAGAACATTTGGAATAATTAGTGAAGTAACACCGATCCAGCTTATGCTGGTTGGATTGATCCACATTTGGAATTGATTAGTGAAACTTGCTGGAAAACAAAAGGTGAACTGATCCAGGTCCAAGACGAATCAATCCAACCTTCCCGAGTTTGATGAATGGTAGATGGATCCAATCGACATAGGTTGGATCAAAGTGCTTATCCATCTTCAATCAATGACAGATGATTTTCTTTGTTTCCCATTTCATTCAATGCTTCAGCTCCCTAATTGGTTCCAAACCGTCTTGAAAGTTATGTAATGTTTTGTTTCTGTCCATACAGAGTAGAATAACAAAGAGAGATAAGAATGAGAATATAGAACAGTTCTGCCATAGTCACATTTTCGGGTGTTGAGAGTCAAGGTATGATGTCCAGAATACCATCATCAATCACACTTATGTTTGCTCAAGTGTTCGGGTGTGTGATCAGATGTTCAGAGGGTAGGCGGTGGATTCAGTAGATATAAGAACATGTGAAAGAAAGGGATGGTGATTTCCTAGAGTCGAATTTGGTAATCAACAAGTAATTAACGTAGTGTATTATGAACTTGTAATTATTATAATTCTTTTCATAGTGTATTTATGTGTATCGGAATAGTTCCCTTTGGTGTTTCCACATAAAAATCATGCACTCCAGTTATGATATAATTGATCGTTATGCTGATACACCGTAAACCAGGACCCCCTCATTGCTCCATTGCCAAATTGTACAGGCCAAAATTTTCAATTAGTATTACAGCTAACATAGAGCTCACTGCTACCTCTCTTTTTTTCCCAAAAGGTCTATCCAAACCCCCAACTTTCATGTAGAAGGCAAATCTTAATTACTGATTACAACAAGGGCTTGTCTGGGCTGAGCCCATGCTCCAACAGAAGCTCACTCAGCTTAATGGGCCTGAGCCCAGCTTAAGTCCCATCAACGTGACAGGAGTCTGTGGCCTGTAGAATGGTAACTTCTGTGACTTGGGCTTCAATGAACTTTATAGGGTTCTAGATATTTTGAAAAGGTAACATGTCCTCAACAAGACCTAGAAAATCAGGGCCAAGCAAAGCCTAAATTTCACCAAATTTGAAACAACCAAACACAAATCTAGGCCACACATCACTATAGAAAATCCAAGCCCAATATTAGCATAACTAAGATTTTATTGTTCCTTTTTTATTTCTTAACCTTTCTCATTTCCCTTTTTTCAATATTTTTATTTATTTTTGGGTCAATTTGAAACCAAACCCAGTCTCTTTGTATGCCTTCACCACAATACTACAGGGATTCATTTCCTCTATAATAATAGTAGTACCTTAATTTACTTTCGTGTTGTATCTTACCTATAGGCGGAAGCAACCTATTGAAGGAGTTAGATTCTCTTGCTAAAAAAGATATGAACCCACCTAATAGAAACTTTAGCAACAAGACTCAGCTGAGATGGGCTAGACCTGTGATAATTTAATCAGATTTAAACCACCAATATTATTGCTTTCAATTGTTTATAAGTCAAAGCCAGATCCCAAATTGCCCTAGTTAGGTTGCACATCCAAATTATAACTCAAGAAAAATTATAACATTTCACAGTGACTACTTTCTAATTCCTGTGTATTGGATGGACTCATTCCTCCAAGTGACTACGTGAAATAAATGCAATTAATTTCAATCCTACAATCTATTTGATAAATTTAAGCTTCAATATAAACTGTGCCCCCAGTGGAGAAATCAATTGCAATATAAACACAATTTTGGTAATCAAGACACAATTAGATTACAAAGAAGACAGCAAAAGAAATAAAACTTGTATTTTATAAGGAACAAAACTAAAAATTACAATTCACATATTCAAGTTTCTTTCAGTAATTTGCATGCCAACAAAGAGAAACTATGCTAATACATAAGTAAATTACACAATACCTATTAAAATACTTGTATTATTTAGGTTAATATTTCAGATAACAAATGTTTTTCCACTATTTCTCACCTTGCCAACATAATGATCTACAAGCCAATTCCCCATTCTAACAATATACTCACTCTTCTTGTGCCTAACCAACAGTGAGGTCAAGTAAAGAAAGAAACTTTGATCTTGTTCTTATAACCCCACCTCCTCAAGTCATAACTAAGGTTGGGAAAAAAATTCCTAAATGTCAAAATTACAATATTACCTCTTGGAGTTCTTACTCTGATGAGACAGCGGCAGATGACTTCAACTTCTTTGGTGGTGGATTCCCTCCAGATGTCACCACATACAGATAGAAGCACAGCATACCAGCACTGCGATAAATGAATGGTACAAATTTATGAGACACCTCAAGCTGAAAACTGAAGAATCCTCATCAACAACTAGAAATTCCAGTACCTAATGACGGCAAAAATGCCTGTTGGAAATAATTTCTTTGTCTGCATCCACAATACCATTTTACAGTTATATAAATGAATAAGCTAGCCAATCAGTGAGGACAACATTATGGTGTTGTGATGTAATACCAATGAGTATATCAGAAAGTTCTTCCAGATAAGGACGGCAGAGAGTACTGCAAATCAGAAATAGAACATCCATGAAAAATCAATAAATAAGAAAATGTGTTTTATGACAACAAACAAAAACAAAGTAAATTTGTAGCCTTTCGTATTGATTTTCCTTTAAAGCACTTGGGTATCAGGCATATATATAACAACCACAAATTTTTTTTTTTCCCAATTACATTTTCTCTACTTTAAGGGCCAATGTGGTACACTGGTAAAATGCTCAAGCTGTCAAGTGTGAGAGTGCAGATTTGAATCCTTAATGACAAAGATTAGGTTTGTATCCAGTCTACCCTTCCTATCACCCTCGATTGATGGGGACTACACTACAATATTACCCTTTTAATTACACTTTCTATATTTTACTAAAAGGAGCATCACAATTTCAACAAACTGGAAGTTCATTTAGTACCCTTATCGTGTATATCCATCTAAAATGGCCTATGACTTGGTGAATTTGTCCAACATTGCAAGCTGGAAATATTTTGTGGAGCCTATGGAAAGAATGAAATGGTAAAAGCTAAGAGAACAACAATAACACAACAGAAAGGTTGGGAGTAAAATTAAGACGAAAAATTAGATGTTGCTTGCATTAATTTAGTGTAAAGTTCATCAGACTGCACCAAAATTTTATAATCATGATCAGCTGCTTGTTATGTAATGTTTACAATTGAAAGGATAATGTTGCATTAACAATTACTCCGGCAATCTCACTACACTTAAAGCAGCTCCTAAAATTAATATGAAAAACTCAGAGCACAAGAGTCACGCATTTTAAAGATATTACTAAATTTGATAATTGTAGTTGTAAACTCTCAGGTGATCGTAGTGATAGTGAAGCAGATGGGGGCAGTGATATAGTGATCAGTCATCAATGGTTCGTGATACAGGTAGCTTGTGGCAGTGGTAGAAACAAAAATTTGATGACTGGTTATTGTGATAATGAGAACTCCCAAATAGTGACAATGGATGGAAAGGTAAAAGTGAGTGCCAGTGGAGCAGGTTATGGGATTTAGAAGAAATGGATGTGGGGGCAATAAGTAAGTATAAAGGAAGGAGTCGAGATGCAATACTTCTGAAAATCTAAATCTCTCAAGAATACACTTAAAATTTTTAACACAATTCACTAAAAAGATGGACATTGCCAATTTTAGAAGAAAACATTTATAAACAATTCCTTTGCCGCCTAGGAACCTCCAAGGCTTCAAGTTGCCTAGAATTTTGTCGTTCTTACTAAGCAGCTCTTGATCAAATTACAGAACCACCTTTGGTATTGAGTTGGGAAAGAATTAACGATAAAAAGTCAAATAAGAATCGAACATTATAGCATATAGACTAGGAATTCAGCATCGTGACACCTAAAGATTGGATGAAATACGTACCTGCTTGTCCTAGAATGAACTGAAAGCTGGATTTTCCTTGTCTCCAGAACTTTAAGCTAAGAGTGCTGAGGGTCAGCAAAGCACCTCCGAAAAGTACACTGGTGCTTAAAGTGGCAGGATTTCTTGAAAAAATAAAATCAACAAGCCCCCCACAAAACACAAGTCCCCCTGGAGCAAGACGCAATCAGTGAGTGACAATATATGATTGCACAAGAAATTTTTTATTTGGTGGGTTCGGTAGGGTGTAAGGTTCAATTAAACAGTGTATCAATATTAAGGTTCGACTCCTCTTGGGTGCAAACAATTCCTTGGATGTTGTTGGGGGGGGGTGGGGTTGTTGAGTATCATCAACTGGGAAAAAAAAATTTGAAATGCCATGTAGTATGGCTTACTGAGAACAATTATAGAATACGAAGTTAATGGTAAACATAAACTATAGATTCACATCAACCAGAAAATCACAAAGCATTTACAGTTCACCATCCTGCATTTGGTGGTTTAAAACGCCAAATTCATAATCCATATCTCAAAGATAGCTTTTTGTACGTGCTATGCATCACATATAACATTGAACATGTACTATATAAAGTTGCTTCTGATTGCAAGCGGTATTGAGAAATAATTGTCATCCTATATTTGTTGATCGAAAATTTAGTAGTTAAAAAAATTGAGGATTATTATACTCCTATTTTAAGTGACCAGTGCAACATAATCAAGACGCTTCGAGTTCAACTCCTCTCGGATTAAGAAATACACATATGCCTTAACGGAACAATCCACCACTCCCAAGGGAGTGGGAACACCTCCATTTTTTTGTTTCCTTTTTCAAAAAATAATAATAATAAAAGGAATACGAGGTGAGTTAAACCCACTCCCTGCGACCAAAAAAAAAAAAGGTAGTACGAAACAAAAAACTAGGAAGAAGCTAAAGACAGCAAGGATACCCCATTAACTGAAGCTTATGCCCTTTAAATCAATGGCTAGCATTCTTTTACCCCTATAACTCAACAAGTCGCTGTAGAAGTCAATAATAATATTAGATGGAGCTGAATACCTACCAAAGGGAATTCCAAAACAGAAATCATGGATCTTTGCTGCCCTTTTCTGTTGAGTGATAAGATGTTCATGTACAGCAGCATGTTCTTTTGTAGTTGGATATGACTTTGTTGACCTTCCATTATGTGAGTTTGATGCTTCTGCTGAATAACTTATAGTGGTCTTAGCTTCTGACCTGGATTTTTCTGTGCCATATCCATCATGGCTCATAACAACCAATACCTATAAAATGATGACTTCTACCATTTTAGTATCACTTCCAAGTGGCTATAGATCAGAACAAATCTAAAGCACTACAAGAAAAAAAATTCCACCAAAGTTAGAAAATGAAAATAGTGATTGCATACAAGAGAAGTTTATGTACCTCCAATCATGATACACAAAATTGAAAATGTAAGAGACCAAGTGAGTACAGAAAAAATGGCAAAACTGGATTGTAATTAATATATTTTACATCTCCATTCCAGCAGCTACTAAAATTCCTTCAATTAAAAAGATAAAGAAAAAGAATATAAACATGCCACTGACCAGATTAATTATATTTTTTGGTCCAACGATTTCTCAAATTCAAATAAGCTCCATAACGGTAATCAATAATTAGACCCAGTGCAAATTCCAACTAGTCTTAATAATTTCAAATTTGTCTACAAAAATGACCCTTGCAAATTTACTAGGGGTGTTCAAAAAAACGGGTAAACCGAAACCGGACCGGACCGTACTAAATTGGGCGGTTTGGACTAATTGTATAGCAGTTTGGTCCGGTCCTAGGCTCAAAATTATGGAATCGTAATTTTTTGGTCCGGTCCTGGTTTAGACTCGTACTGGACTGGACCAGCCCAAACCGAAGCGTTACCATGTTATATAATATATATTTATATATATGTATATCATATCCTAAACCCTAAATCAATTACAGTTCTCACGTACTCCTTTTCTTTCTTTTGTTCTTTAAATTCCTTATAAATTTTTTTAAAAAAAAGTCAAATTTCCCTTTTCAATTATATTTCAATTTTCTTTCCTTTCCTTTCAAATATATCTAAATTTTCTTTCCCTTTTTTTTTTTTTGTGTGTGTGTGTAATATATCAATGTTAGTTAATATTTTTATTTTTTTATTTTTTAACTTTGCCCCCTCAAAATTAAAATAAAATAAAATAAAAATTAACTGAGACTGGCAAATTGAACCGAACCAAACCGGTTTTCCGTGGTTAGGTTTGGTTTGGTTCCATGAATATTATGGTTCGGTCTAATTTCAAAAATAGTGAAACCGTTATAAATAATTTGGTCCCAAAATACTCATAATCCGGTCCAAACCGGACCGTGTGCACCCTAAAATTTACCCATTAATATCTCCACGTATTATTAACACTTCCTCATCAATGTAAGTTTCTTATTGACATTGCTTGGGTCCACATTTCGCAAAACATCATCAAGCAAAATCAAACAATCGGACTAACGTCTAGAACGGAGTTCAAAAAACGTATCAGAGCTTTCTATGCATATGCGTATAGAAACATATATAGACATGAAAATAATTCATCATCAATAACAGGAATTTCTGAAATGATGGAATTCTCTAAAACCCGAAAAACAGATCATTGACACCAACCAAACGGTATCTGTGGAAATTAGGGTTTCTGAGGGTAAGTGGGAAAGAAAGGAGGTACCTTTTGACGAAGACTGGGACATGGGGTTGATTTGGTGTGTCTTTGTAGTCTGTGCTTGATTGGATGGTAACACGAGAGCTGAGAGATTGCTGATGACATGATCAGTGATGATGATTTAAAATGAAAACACGACGGAAGAAAAAATAGACCTGTGATTTTAATTTGAAAATGAAACCTGAAAAATAGACTTTTGTTGTCGAAAAAACAAAAAGGAGAAATTATTTTTTTAACCTGGGATGGCCAGGGCTACAAATGAAGTGATCACTTTGGTTTCGCTTCGTTCATTTAAGTAAAAGACCCGAGTTAGAACACATTTTTTAAACTCGTATTATAATGAGCCGAGTCCAAACTAAACTTGTTTCATAATGAGCCGAGTCCGAACTCCGCTCATAAACAAACTCGTTTAGTAAAAAGTTTTTTTTCTTTTTTTTTAAAGTTTCTATACAATTTTTTTTAGCCCATATAACATAAATTAGTAAAAGGTTTATTTATTTATTTATTTTTTAAAAAAAATCTATACAATTTTTTTTAGCCCACATAATATATATTGAGTCCAAACTGTGTTCATAAACTCATCGGTGACAGTATTCACAAATCTCTGTCTTGGGTTTCTTTTCTCAAATCTCTTTCTTGGGTTTCTTTTCTCTTACGAGGTCTCAATCTCATTTTAGTATTGATGGGATCAGAGGAAGATGCGTAGAATGGCGGTTAATGAAAGAAATGCAGTGATGAATTCATGGATTCCATATTTGATTCGTTGAAAACAGTTGCTACAGATCTAAAGTTTTTCTTTATTATTATTTTTTTCGAGCCAGGTTTGACTAGGCTCACAGGAAGCCCGAGCACACTCCTAACTGAGCCTGAACATGGTAAAGTTCGGCTCTGCTCATCTCATTTGTAGCCCTAAGGATGGCAAAAGGGTGGTATGGGACTTGTAACGTCATTTAACATAGTTACTCCCATTCTTATCTTAGAATTGTTTATAAACGGGGGCAGGGTAGGGTGGGGTGGGACTGGGACCGGGACAAGTTTTGTAATTCTATTAATAATTCTCTTTCTCTTATTCGAAAAAAAAAAAAAAAAAAAAAAAAAAAAAAAAAAAAAAAAAAGAAGCAAAATTTAATTTCTCAATTCGAACTTTAGACTTAATAAATAATATATAGAAGTACTTAAATAGGAATAATACAAAATGATATTTAGTGATTGGAATATAACAAATTATGATTTGTTTAATATATACGTCATATTATTGAATATAAAGCGGGTAGGGTGGGTAATCTTTCCCATCCCCGTCCCATAACCATGCATAACCTTCTTCGACCCTACCTCAAACCCATTTAATCACCCCAAACGAAGGCGGGGCACAACCTTCTTCCGTATCATTTCATTTTGTTGAAAATATATGTTTCGTATGACATTTAAGATATAACAAACCTTATAATAATATAACACGAGATAATTAATAATATGTTAAAAATGTAATACCCCTAATTTATAAGGTTTTTTATTTATTTATTTTAATTTCATTTTATTAGATTATGTGCCTATGTGATTATTTAATTTAAATGAGTATTGTGTGTGTTGATTGTGCATGTAATTAATTGTAAATTGTTTTACCTTTTAATTGTTTAGATTAAATGTTTATTTATTTTATTTTATTGATATTAATAGATGGATTGGGCTAGCAGTATTGGACTAATTAAACGGGTCGTGAACCACTATGTAAGAGGCCTAGTTGGGTATAGAATATTAGGCCCATGTGATGTGTTTTATGTGTGTGTGTGTGTGTTATTATTATTATTATTATTACTTTTATTTTCCTTAATCTAACGAGAGTAGGATTAGGGGCATATTACATATTGTTACAGGGCTAAATTACACCACGAATTTTTGCCTCTGCAATGGCACTTGGGGCCACCAAGTCTCAGCCAACACAACAACACAATACACACAGTATAGAAATGTAAAGAAGGCGCACACAGTTTACAGGGACAAGCCCCAACCTTTGCTCATATTAACCATATTACAAAAGAACATGAGTTCGTACAAAGAACAACCAAGGCTCACACCCTCCTTTCTGTTCCCTCTACAAAGCCCACCTTAGCATTATATAGGCCACTCTCAAAACCGCCCATAACTGCCTACTAAGATGATGGATGACACCCCCATCCACCTAGGGTCGTACTGGCACCCTCTAAATGTGCCAGCACTATAATGTAGTTGACAAGCCCAACTGCTAGACTTGTTGGCATGTTCTGTTCATGCCACATAACCACAAGAAGTTACATTCTGCATAGTGGAGGAAACCACCCTTAACCGCCTGTGTGTTGGTCCTCTCAGAATTGCGCCACATGTTTGGGAGGTTACTCAGCACTCCCCCACTTCCCATGATGAGTGGGAAGTGCTAGTAACTTCCCCCAACCGACCGAGCCCACTAAGCCACCACCTCTTGTAACCGCAAGCCATGACTTTGTGTTGTCCATGCTCTAGCCACATCTGAGTCAACCTTGTGAACCTAGCCCAAGCCAAGTCCACCAATCTGCACCCACATATATATGTCTCTGAGTGCACGGCGTGCCAAGCCATGCACGCCCGTGCGCACGCTCGGGTGCACACCAAAGTGCATGCCGGCGCACACACTAGTGCCCTTCTTCGCGCGCCATGTTTGAACCCCCATGCGCCCGTGGCTGTACACCCGCCTGGACGCCCATGCGCACGCCGAGCTAGACGCTCGCGCACACTAGGTTGGACGCTTGCCCGCGCGCCCACCTGCACTCCCGCACGCACGCCGCTGCACACCAGCGCGCGTGTCGGTGCCCACTTGTTTGCCCTTCAATAACTTGGATGCTCCCCACTTGTGCAACCATCTTGGAGTGGTGCAACACGTGCCCATGCACGTTGGCTAAGCCCTCTAAGCAAGCTATGCCATAGCCCAACCAATGTGCTCAACAGACCCCCCCTAATATAGTCTTAAGGAAATCCAGCACTCTGACAGGAGTAAACATCACCCATGCTTGAGGAGTCATAATGGCCTTTCAGGCCTTTCCCGACATCCAAATTGAGTGCCGTCTGCGCCAATCAGCTTCTATGGACCCAAGGTACCTCCCATAAAGATCCCGAGTCAAAACTCCAAGTTTCACTTTTCACCATATTTACAAAAGTGCCACTGGGCACCCCCAGTGCACGCCGAGCATCCTTTTAAGCATCTTGTGTGCACGCTGAGCATCTTGTGCACGTTGACAACCCCCTGAGCAATCCTCATGGCTGTCTGACCAAAGCCAAAGTATTCCCAAGACATGGCATGGCCTTGAAATGCCCATATCTTCCCTTGGACAACCGTCAAGGGGCTAACATATATGTAGTATATATATATCTCTGTGTGTGTGTGTGTGTGTGTGTGTGTGTGTGTGTGTGATCTGTAGAAGGGTTAGCAAACCCGTATAAAGGGAGAGCTAGAGATAGACGATAAAGAGAAAAGGGAAAATAACAGAAGAAAGAAAAAAAGAGAGAATAGTGGGTGAAACCGATCCAAAGGAGAAGGCAGAGGGTTGTTTGTGGGATAGAACTAGGACCAGCAGAGGCGACGACGGCATCCCGAAGGCTACCGGAGTTGAGAAAACCAACGAAGAAGAAAATAGTAGAGTTTTCGATCTGAAACCCTTGAGGCAAATTCTTGTTATGCTATTCTCCTTTGATTTCGTATTTTATACATCCTTAGGACGATTTAAGGGTTTTAATAACAAATTAAATTAGAATGTTGCATGCTAAAATCGGATCAAATTGAGAGATATATATATTTATATATACGTGCGTGTATATGAATTGTTGAATCTTGAATTTAAATGCATTAAGGTATGTTTTGATGGCGTAAATCATTTACCCGTGTTTTGTATGGATGTTTGGGACGTTCTGGAACTTAGTTTTGAAACTTAGGACCCTTAACTATGGAGATCGGAGGGAATTACAGTGGCCGGATTCGGAGAAGAAGGAACACAGCAGGACATAGCCGGCTCCGTTGTGAAAGAGCCGGCTCAGTTGAGAAAGAGTCGGCTCCTTCTAAAAGCTGACTCGGTTGAATTGCTTTTTTTATTTTGTTTTTGTGGGTCCTAAGGCTACTGTTGTTCGTTTTAGTTGATTTAAATAACTGTTACAGACCGGATATAATTCCAGCATGCATAATATACAATAATATGCTAAGGTATGAGGTATAATGGACTTTACTTGATTTATAAGTTATTCATATGATGTTAAGAATTACATATATTATTATAACAACTACAATAGATGATAACGTGATTAAAATCATATTTATGGATGCTTGCTATGATCTTATATATGATCTATACCTGTTGATTGCTGGGACCATTGTCAGGATATGGTTTCCTGTACGCCATTGTCAGGATATGGTTATATGTTTTATATTGTAAATGAGTTGACTAATAAGTTTGGACTCATTAATTGTCATACAATTATCAGGAAGTGCCATTGTCATGATATGGCTATGTTACTATTTATATTGTTATTATTGTGCCATTGTCAGGATATGACTATATCTATATAATTATTGTGCACCATGATACGAGCTTAAGATTTCGGGATCAATGGTTATGATTGAGGCGTATACTGCCAGTTGAGATGGGTAGGTGGATATAAGATATGTGTGTGCCCTGATAGAAGAGGGAGTCATGACCACCTCATGTGCAATTTGCATGGGATACCTACTATCAGGTTGAGTCTACCATGTAGTCCAGTTAGAGTCTTCAGTGTGTATTTATGTATATGTATCGACTACATAAATATTGCATGAGTTGAACTAGGATGTGTCGTTTATCGGGCATTTGTTTGGGATATTGTAATGCCCCTAGTTTTCAAAAGGATATCATTGAAATTTAATTTTTATTTTCTTGTGTATTTTAATGGTTTATGTGGCTATGTGGTTATATGGCTTGATGGTATGTGTTTAATTGTATTAATTGTTTAATTGATTATTTGGCTAGTTGTAAATGTTTAATTGTTTTATATTAATTGTTTAATTGCTATTTTGTATAATTGTTCAAATTACTTTGCTTGTTTAATTAAAAGTAAATGTTTATATTATTTTAATTTTTTTTAAACGGAATCGGACTTGGATAGGATCAACGGACTAGTTGGATAGTGTAAATGAGTACAGTTTTTACCCATGGATGGAGATACATGTATCTATGGGGATATATGTATTTTTGTGTTAGTTTAATTATTAGGAATTATTAATAATTAAATTA